GGGGGGGGGGGGTAACTCTACTAAGCAGGGAACACAGGTTACAGTTGATTCTATGAAAAGGATTTAAATTACTAATAAATACACAGCACAAATCCATACATAAACATACATATTGTACATATTTTTCAGCTGCAAAATACACCATGTACACCGTACAGTGTGCTGTACATATTTTAGAGATTTGGTTAAGCCTAAGTTGGTTTTTGTATATTTTTGTGAACAAACGGCAAGTAAACCCAATTCATGCGTTTTTCATTTTATCAAAAATCAATTTTTACTGATAAATATAAACAAAGAAGTAACAGATACATTAAAAGAATAAAATGATAGATTTTTAAGTGTGCGTGAATGAATGAATGGGAGGAAAAATAAATAGAAGGATATAAAAGGAAGGATGAATGAATGAAAGGATGAATAAAAGGATGAATGAATAAATGGATGAATGAATGAAAGGATAAATGAAAGAATGAATGAATGAATGAATGAATGAATGAATGAATGAATGAATGAATGAATGAAAGGATGAATGATTGAAAGGATGAAAGGGAGGATGAATGAAAGGATGAAAGGATGAATTAATGAAGGAATGAATGAAAGGATGAAAGGATGAATTAATGAAGGAATGAATGAATGAATGAATGCATGAATGCATAGGTAGAACTGAGAAGAACTTGAAAGAATGTGCAGCAGAAATTAAGGCAAGGGGTGGAAACCCTGTAATTGTTCAGATGGACCATGGCAATGACGCAGGTTTGAATTCGAAATTATGATTTTTATCAATTTAATTCCCATTTTCTCTCATAATACAATAAATATTAATTAATAATTTCCAAACTAAAAAGATTTTGTAAAGAAAAATAGTTTTAGTTCTTTAACCCATAAAGGGAGTAACCGGCTAAATCATGTAGTTGAGCTGAGAGTGCATTGTACTTTCAATACTGCACTCTCATCTCAACTACCACGTCTAGCCGGTCACTCCCTTTAAGTATTAAATTTTAAATTTGTCAGTCAGTCTGGCAGCATACAGATTTTTTAACAGGCAGTACTTAGGCCTTAATTAAGACTAGATGAAACCGAAGATTTTCTTGTTAACATTTAATTTACAGAAATAAAGTTAAATGATTTTTTTTCTTCTCTTTTTTGCCTTTTAGATTTTTTTATCTCGATAATAACTTGATATTTCTGCCGTGACTTATAGAAACCTTGAAAAAAATGAGAAAAAAATGTAAAATATAATTCATAATACACTAAGTTATTTTTGTGTTAAGCGTACTTTCAAGTGACCTATGACCATTTACATTCGTTCAAAGATGGCAATGCCCGATTCACACGGTACTCTTGAAACCTTTATCTGATCAATTATGTTGAAGATATTGTCTTTTTTATAGATTCAAACGGGTTTAATTCTGATTATGACCATATGCTTTCTTCAGTAGAAATGCGCGAGCAACTTTCGAAAATAATCAGTTTTTCAAATTATGAAAACATTGATATCTAATTCATACTTGATCAGGCAAAGCTTTTAAGGGTATAGTTGTTAATCGGATATTGCCATCTTTACTTGAAATGATGCTGACAGTCCCTTTAAACCAAGCTATTTTTTGTTTAGACGTGGAGAACCTGTTCGCTAAGATCAAGGCTGAACAGAGTGGGAAGCTGGATGTACTTGTAAACAATGCCTACGCCGGTGTAGATATGATCTTTAAGGTATTAATAAATTATCTTTTGCAAAATTTCGATGAAATAGCATTCTCGCAAAATCAATATTTAATTTTTGCAAACATTTTTGGTAGATATGATTTTCAAGGTTATGACGTATTTTGCATATTTAAAAAGAAAATTATACATTTAAAATATGTTGTTAATGTTAGTAAGCACAATCAAGTTGATGCAGATGATATTTCTCCGTTATATATATATATATGTATATTGTATATTTTGGTTTGGGTTAATCATCCTTCTTAGTTATCACAAAGAATACAGTTCACCTTAAAATCTCAAGAAAAATAAGAGCACCAATCATGATATAAAAAGGGACATAAAAAAATGTTCAGAAGTTTATTTTTAAATAAATATTTTCTGTCTTATTCTTGGATAAATGGTACAAAAAAGCTACACAACCCGGTTTACTTGTTTATTCGTTTGACGAATCAAAACTTTCTGCTCCCTGATTGGTCCATCAAGGTTCAGCAGGACAAACGGCGAAGAAAATAAGAATTCAATTGAAAAATGATTATCCGGATCCGCATAAAGAAAACTGGATTCTAAGCCCTGATTTTGTATTTAGAACACTGGGAAGAAGTTTTATGAGACTGATCCTGCTCAAACCTGGGATTGCATCAATGGGGTTGGCCTCAGGTATTGGGATACATAAAGTTTTGGGTCCATCCTTAAATTAAATATCTAGACACTGGACAGAGGCTACTTAATAAATTTATAAATAAATAAATTTTCCCTCAAGTCCTAGGAAGGAGTTTCCCAAAGCTATTAATTTTTAAAAAACTTATATCTTTTCATGTCACTTCTCTATTAGACATTGCTCAATCTCATGATAGGTAGCTGTTGGGTACACAGTTTGTCATTATGACAGGCAGCCACCGGAATGTACCACGAGGGCATGGGCGTTAAAATTTGTGCTCTCGGCCGGTTTGGACTCCAGGCCGCTATCTGCACGGTGGTGCGTGGTGCCCTGAAGGCAGTCTGGGGGTTCCACATTGGGTTCCCTTGCAGTTTTAAACTTGATTTGATTTGATTTGATTAGAATCATGGTTTCAGAAACATTAAAATTAAATATTTAAATTTTTTTTACTGTTATTAAGTTTCAATTAGAACCTTGCCTTATTTCTAAAGGAAAAGCGTTCTTGTTATAATCTCAAATTTTCTTATTCCTTTGTATTTGCAACCTGCTGGTAAAAACCTTTGTTATTTTTATACTTAGACGAGGTTTTGCCCCTCACAGCCCTCTCAAACAGTAAAGGATAGGAAATTAAATTTTTTTAGTTCAAACACCTATTGGCTTAGTTCATCCTTTTTTATTTAAATTCTATATTTCGTTGAAATAAATTGTATTGTTTTATTTTTCAATATTTTGTTTAGGGGTCATTATATTTGTACTACCCTGGCTAGTAGGATTATGGTTGAGAGACAAGAGGGGCTTATTGTCAATGTTTCCTCCATCGGAGGCCTCAGGTAGGCTTCATATAACTTATTGTAGGCTCACGTCGCTCATTGAAGGTGGAACTAAAATTTTATTGATTTTTTCCTAGTAAGATTGTAATTCATCGTAGGCCGCATTTAGCTCTGAATTAATGTTTTATTAATTCTTTTGGAGGCTTTAGTAGTTTTTTTTTTTACATCAGAGGGCCACAATTTAGCTCATTGAAGGCCACATTTACCGCATTGGAGTCTGAAATAAAGTTTTATTAGTTTTTTTTGATTGAGGCCTTAAGTAAATTTGTATTAATCGAAGGCTACATTATCTCACTGGAGACTGAATTAAAGTTTAAAGATTTGGTCGGAAGAATTCGAGCTCATTTTGTTTCATTGTAAGATATTCGAATTATTTCAAATTTTTTTGATTAGTTTATTTTATTTTGTTTTTATAACTATTTTTACTTTTATATTAATAAATTTCTTTTCTTTTATGTTTTGTAAAGATTTACATAAAGTATAAGATTTTTGTAGCGATTGATTTCGTAATTCACATCCCTTTTTTTGTTATTATGTTTTTCTTTTTTCTTTTTATATTTTTATTTTCATTTCTTTTGTTAGGTATCTTTTCAACGTGGCATATGGCATTGGAAAGGTGAGTTAACAAAATTGAATTATGGATAGATTTTTTATTTCATTGAATTATTGTTTTTTAGGCCGGATGTGACCGTATGGCCGCCGATTGTGCCATGGAATTGAAAAAGAAAAATGTGACGATGGTCTCCTTATGGCCTGGGCCTGTTCAGTAAGTAGTTTTTAAAGTTTTAAAAAAATACATAAAGCTTTTTTTAATTATTGGAATAAATTTTGTATTTTTTTTTGTTCAATAAAACTTAATTTTAGGACAGAGTACATAACTGAGAATGTGATGGAGGATAAAGATAGTAAAAACCCCATGAAGAAAGCGTTTGAGGTGAATATTGAATATATGCGGAAATGGAATTCCCCCAATCCTCTGTTTCTCTAAAACAGCTATTTAAAAGCTCTCTTTTCCAATTAATGCGCTCTAGAAAATAGTGCATAGGATCCAATTAATCCGCACTGGAAAACAGTGCCCAGGATCTAATTAATCCGTACTGGAAAACAGTGCCCAGGATCTAATTAATCCGCATAGGAAAACAGTGCTTAGGATCCAATTAATCTGCATTAGAAAACAGTGCCTAGGGTCCAATTAATCCGCACTGGAAAACAGTGCCTAGGATCCAATTAATCCGCACTGGAAAAAAGTTGATATACTGATTTTTAAACAGAATAACAATTTTCAAATTATTTTTCTTTTTTCGTTTTTTTTTATGCTTTAACTTGATACCATGAAAAAAATAATGAAATTTTTTTTATTATCTCCCTTTTTTCCCTACAGTTCAGATTTTAGGTTTGAGAGCGAAAAAAGTTTCTTCGCAGTTTTGGTTGATAAATATTTTGCTCCTTGGATCCGGATCCGTGAATGGAAAAGAAAATAAGATCCGGCAATGTGGGCAACACCGTGTTGTTCCTTCGTCTACGATTGTGCATTAAATACCTTGATAATAATATGAGTTAAACCTATACTGAATTTGTGCAGGAAGGCGAGAGTATTGAGTTTTCCGGGAAAGCAATTGCTAATCTTGCCGCTGATCCCGATGTTATAAAGAAGACTGGTCGTATTCTTCAGGTAATGTACAATGCGCAAAATGTGTGTTCAAGTTTCTAAAAATGAAAATAACGTTTTTCTATTTGTCAACAATTTTATAAAGCTGTGAACCGATTTTATCACTCTGTAAGTAATTGTCTATGGTCAATGGTTAAACATGCCTTGAATAATTGATACTTTTCCCACACAAAGCAAAAAATTCCTTGACAAAATCAATGTAAATAGAAATTCAAAAATCTTATTTTTAAGACTGTTGATTTGGCTCACGAGTACGGGTTCAAGGACACTGACAATGGAATGCCAATGGATTTCAGGTAAAATTAGCTGGATTTATTATGGCAGTTTTGGAGGATTTCCTTATTATATAAATCGTGGAATTAAAAAAAACATAAGATAATGGTAAATAGTTGAAAAGAAAACGCTAAACTAACCCCAAAACCTACCCTTTTTGATTAAACTCAATTTCTCTGATTGATTGGAGAGAAATCTCTCATTAGTCAAAACTTTGAGGGGACCAAAGAGGAATCACAAGGTTCATGGAATAAGTTATAATAATTTCTCTGTTCAAAAGTTTCTAGCTTTTATCACAGAAAAATTACTTCAAAAGTTTCCAGTTCTTACCAAAGAAAAATGACTTGTGTTAGGGAAGGTGTCTCTTTCCGTTGCTGGTAGGTTTTTAAATTTTGTGATTAATGAGTTTCTGGCGAGCCACCAACAAACTCAGATCGCAGGTTCTGACCGAGCCACTTGTTTGCCTATTCTGAAGAGCCTCTTATTTTTTACAATTAGGGGCTCATAACTCATAGCTTTTATTGACAGTGTTCATATCATAAACTAGCTTGAGAACCCAGCGTTGCTCAGGGTACTCATAGTTACTCCTGCCGTTTACCCGCACTTGACCAATTTTACCGGGAAACTAAACTTTTGCTTCAGATTATGATCGTTCCCGTGGTTCTCCTAATCAAAATTTGAGGCGAATCGGTCCATGGGCCGGTTCCTTACTTATTCTTTCAACTTTATATAAAGATGGTATAGATGTTTAATATTCGTCTTCGTCTAGGCTTGTTAAGAATCTACTTCGACACGCCGGTTATACTGGTTTAGCAGCTTGGGTCCCAGAGTTCTTTAAGGTATAAACAAAATAAATTTACTGATAGGGATTGCCAAAATTAATTTAGGTATTCTCAATTTATAGAAGCCATATAGTATATACCCTTCAGCCTTTTAAGGGACTGTAAGTCTAATTTAAGGGACTGTAAGTCTAATTTAAGGGACTGTAAGTCTAATTTAAGGGACTGTAAGTCTAATTTAAGGGACTGTAAATCTAATTTAAGGGACTGTAATTAAAGATGATATAGATGTTTAATATTCGTCTTTGTCTAGGCTTGTTAAGAATCTACTTCGACACGCCGGCTATACTGGTTTAGCAGCTTGGGTCCCAGAGTTCTTTAAGGTATAAACAAAATAAATTTTACTGAAAGGGATTGACGAAATTAATTTAGGTACTCTCAATTTATAGAAGCTATATAGTATATACCCTTCAGCCTTTTTAAGGGACTGTAAGCTATATAGTATATACCCGTCAGCCTTTTAAGGGACTGTAAGCTATATAGTATATACCCTTCAGCCTTTTAAGGGACTGTAAGCTATATAGTATATACCCTTCAGCCTTTTAAGGGACTGTAAGTGTGATTTAAAGTGCCCCTCCACGCAAAGATGACATTGTCAGATTCACGATGATAACCTCAAAACCTTTATCTGATAAATTATGCGGAAGAAATCATCTTTTTTTTTCTATATTTAAAAGTGTTTAATTCTGTTAATTCCAATATGTTTCCTTGTAATAGAATGCACAAGTCACTTATGTAGAGACTGGGGGTCTTTCACGATCTTTTTCATTTATTTATTTATAGAGAAACCAAAATTGAAAATAATAATATTAGAAAAATTTATATCTAATCCATACATGATCAGACATCGCTTTTAAGGCTACCATTTAAATCAGGCATTGCCATTTGTGCATGGAGGGTCACTTAAAATAATGCGTACAGTCCCTTTAATTAGATTAATAATGATATATATATTTCTAAAAAGATGAAACTAATCTCAATTTTCTTTATTGAGACAATAAAATCTTTATTGAGACAATAAAATCTGTGAGTCACTATTATCGTGAGCTGGAATCAAAATTTTATTTACAGATAAAAAAAAACAGTTCTTTTCTTGTCGCATGTGCCTCTGTAAATCGGACATTCTGCTTTATAACAAGAGGGACACTTGGAATTATTTCAACATATCTTTCAAAACCATTTTCTAATTGGAAAATTTCTAAATAAACTTTGAGTTTACTGTTTAGGTCCCCCTCCTGTTTGTGCATTATGGATCTTACAAGTTCTAAGAGAAGGGGTGACAGCACCAACCAGAGCAGCATCTAAATACCTTCTACAAGAGAAGAACTCAAAGAGCAGCATTTTATTGTGTGCAGCTTTTGTGTTGAAATACCGGTTTTTCTCACTTTCCAACAGAGCTGGTGATGGTTCTTCATAATTCTTCTTTAATTTCATCTTCAAAATAAATATTCCCATCTATATGCATCCATTTATTGTTTAAAACTGGAGCGTAATTTATTATCATAAATAAAAAAAAAAAATGCCATCTTATTTCTGGTTATATCATTATTAAACCGTAAATAATTAACTTGCATTTCTTTGTTAAAATTTTTCATATTTTTAATAATGAACATGTTCTTATTTAATTAAAATTTTAGCTATGTGCATAATTATTTTGGAATGTATGCTTTTTATTAGTTTATATAAGAATTTTAGCTATCATATATGATTTTATAAAAAATATGTAGTTTTATTATATGCCTAAATATTTTCAGACAAAATGCCGTACAAGGTATAGCTTCGCTATTAATTTACTTTACTTTAATTTACTTAATTTAAGAAATAGTTATTTTATTCCAATCGATTCTAAAATGGTCTATTCAATCCATCATTCTCCAATGGTTGAAGTCTTCAAAGTTTATCTGCGATATAATATAACACTATACTGGCAAGGTTTAACAAAGGGTGCCAAAAATGACTACATTGATCTTATGTTAGAAAAGCAGGAAAGACCATGAAGAGTTGTTCATACAGAAAATGTTCACTCCATAGATTTATAATATTTTATAATCAAGTGATTTTGAAAATTTATGCAATAAAAGCCGCACATTCTTTAAAAGTTAAAGACAAATTTGTTTTTCAAATGCAATGAATTATGCCATGAGTGGGGACTAGGGAGGGAGGATTTGTAAAATTTGTTTGTTTGTATCATAACTCATGGACCCTTTGACCGATTTGCCACAAATTTTGATTCGGGAACTCGGTGGACACACGGAAATGTTCTTAGTTTGGTTTTAAAATTCTTAATTAAGTTTTGTTTGCAGGCAAAGCTGGGTTCCCAATAATCTAGTATCATATAGAATAATTTCCTTGTTAAATAGTGAATTCATTTAGAACCTCATTGGTTCGCATCCATTGCGAGCTTTTGATGATTTTGATGAGATGAGGAAAGATAACAGATTCATCGACGTTGTTCTAATAGCTGAGGGGGTACGCTTCCCTGCTCACAGGTCAAATATCGAATAAATCCACAAAACTTGAACTTTTTTATTTTTTAGCTTTTCAATTTTAACTTTAAAGTTTTTTTGATGTTTTAATTTTGTCAGGCTTGTAGCTCTTTATCTTTTTATCTTAAAATCCTCAAAATTTTTAGTTTTTATAAATTCCCCAAAGTTGTTGTTAGGGTTGTATATTTTGCTCTTTATCTTTTTTATCTAAAAAATCCTCAAATTTAGAATTTTTTTTAATGGCCTCCAATTCCGTTCGACTTGTAGTTCTTTATCTCTTAACTAAAAATTGAAATTTTTCATGAATGCGCCAATGCTTTTAGGGTTGTACTTTTAGGGTTGTACTTTTAGAGTTGTACTTTTAGGGTTGTACATTTATGGTTGTGCATTTAGGGTTGTACTTTTAGGGTTGTACTTTTAGGGTTGTACTTTTAGGGTTGTACTTTTAGGGTTGTACATTTAGGGTTGTACTTTTAGGGTTGTACTTTTAGGGTTGTACATTTTAGTTTGTACATTTAGGGTTGTACTTTTAGGGTTGTACTTTTAGGGTTGTACTTTTAGGGTTGTACTTTTAGGGTTGTACTTTTAGGGTTGTACTTTTAAGGTTGTACATTTAGGGTTGTACTTCTAGGGTTGTACTTTTAGGGTTGTACTTTAAGAGTTGCACTTTTAGGGTTGTACTTTTAGAGTTGTACATTTAGGGTTGTACTTTTAGGGTTGTACTTTTAGGGTAGTACTTTTAGGGTTGTACTTTTAGGGTTGTACTTTGCTCCTGTTCATCTTATTTTGATCGCATGTTCCAGTCTGGGTTCAAAGANTTTGATCCATAAATGGATTGTATACGAATTATCAAATGGCTCTTCATTCCGATTCAATATCCTTTAGGCTTTGTCTTAGCAAGAAACCCTAATGCATCCATCATGTTCTTACTGGTAATATTTTTTTTCAATTTTGGTTTCACTGAATAGTTAGTACAGATTTAAGCTTAATGAAAACGATTAAAAATCATAATGTTTTACGCATTATTGATTGGGTGAAGCTGTGAATCGTACATTCTCCGCTTAAATGGTTAACTCAATTAAATTAAATTGAATTTATAAAGAAGTCCCCTAAACTTGAAAATAGATTCAAACTGTGTTTAGGGGATTGAAAGCGGCACAATGAAGCTTATGTTAGATTTTATCTACGGAAAGGCGATTATGGTTGATGAACTAAACGCTCAGGACCTTCTTATAGGTGATAAAAATTAAAAAACAGTTTTATAATTTGAGTTTTAAGTTTGGTGTTAATTGACCTAAAGGGTAAAAATTTGAATGATGAACCCATTTCATGTAAGTTGGGACATAATCGATCTAATTATTTTGATAAGTTTCTTTAGATTGATTCATTGAAATTGATTGATTGTAACATTGGATTGATTAAAATTGGGTTATTTATTGATTTTCTTTTTATTTCTGTGATTGGTAATGAAAATTGATTGATTTAACATATCAATTGATAGTTTTGTTTTTATTGCTTTATATTTTTGATGGATTTGATTTAATTTCGCTGAGTGATTGATTGATTGATTGATGTAAGGTGCTAACCAGCTCCTGCTGACCGCTATAAGGGATGCAGCCGGCGAGGTGCTCGGGAAAATGATCGAGATACACAACGCAATCATCATTAAGTTAGTTTATATTTTCATTAATTGTAAAATTTAAAGTTTGTTTGAAATAACTTTTTAAAAAAATGCTATTTTTGAGCGCAAAATGTTAAATTCATTTTATTTTGTTTTAACGGTAAGTTTCTTTTATTATTTTATTTAACAGAGATTCATTATATAAAATTTTGAAAGCTTTAAATTAAAAATGAAAGTTCCAGATGTTACGATTTGTTCTCCCTTAAAATGTTTATCCTTATAATCCCAATAATGTTAAGAATAAAAGAATAAATTCATGATGGATTGATTGATTGATTGATTGATTGATTGTTCAGAAACCTGGGTCAAATGTTCGACTGCAAAGTGCTTGAGAACAGAGCTGAGATATTTATCCTCGAGAGATTTGAATATGTTTGCCAAACAGAGGACTTCTTGAAGCTCGGTAAACATTTATTTTTTCACGAGCCTTTTGTTCCCCTTCGAAATGATTAAGCTTTTAAAAATATTGTCTTTATTTATTTTTTCGTGTATTTCTGTTGATTTTCAAATTTTAGACAATTCTGACCGGCTTTTAAACCATTCCTTTCCTATTCCTGGGGTCAAATCATTTTTGCGAATGATTTGTTATTTGGTTCAAACCAACTAGACTATTCATAATTTTTTTGAATTTAGTGGATTGATTTAAAGGGACTATCGTTTTAAATGACCTTTCATTGATCGATAATGTGGAAGATATCATCGTTTTTCTAGAGAAACAGAAAATGAAAATATTCAATTTTTTAGAGAAAATTTAAATCTCTTACATTCTTGTTCAGCCAAAGCTTTTAAGCGAACTGTTATAAATAGAAAGCCACACAAATAGAAAGCTACACAGTCTCATTAATCAGTGTTTCTCAAATAAATTAAAACTTTTTTGTAGCAATTCCAAAGGGTCGCCGCCACCTTATGCTCCTTATGTCTAATTGATCAAATAAAATGAGTTTAGATTGATTGATTAGTGATAGTTGATTATTTTATTTTATTGATTATTTTATTATTTTTTTGATTGATTTTTTATTTATTTCTGTGTATTGATTGATTGATTATTTTAGAAGCCCAGGAGATTTTGAGACACCTAGAGAACGACAAGATTATGGTGAAATCGGAGGAAACAATCTTTAACTGTATTCTTAGGAACAGAAACTTTCAGAAGTCAATCACACAAACTGTTGCTTTGTGTTAATTGTCGAAGGAAGACGACAGTTTTCAAAAATTGCATTAAAAATGGGAAAGGAAGACTGTAGTGCATGAAAAATAGCATAAAATTTTAAAAAATATTCCGTTTTTGGTAAAACATTATCTTTTTTTCATAATTATTCTGCTTTTATTCTAAACTGTTAAAAATTTCAATCTTTTCATACGTTTTCAACATTTTATATTATCATCTGAATGTAATTCTGTCTCCAGATGGATAGAAAAGGAACCAGCTATTAGGAAGAAACATTTTGATTTCCTCATTTCAGCTGTCAGGTAGCCATTTTATTTCTGCATTTCAGCTGCCAGGTAGCCATTTTATTTCCACATTTCAGCTGTCAGGTAGCTATTTTATTTCTGCATTTCAGCAAAAAGGTCGCCATTTTATTTCCTCATTTCAGCTGTCAGGTAGCCATTTTATTTCTGCATTTCAGCTGAAAGGTCGCCATTTTATTTCCTCATTTCAGCTGTCAGGTCGCCATTTTATTTCTGCATTTCAGCTGTCAGGTAGCCATTTTATTTCCTCATTTCAGCTGTCAGGTAGCCATTTTATTTCTGCATTTCAGCTAAAAGGTAGCCATTTTATTTCTGCATTGCAGCTAAAAGGTAGCCATTTTATTTCTGCATTTCAGCTAAAAGGTAGCCATTTTATTTCTGCATTGCAGCTAAAAGGTAGCCATTTTATTTCTGCATTGCAGCTAAAAGGTAGCCATTTTATTTCTGCATTGCAGCTGAAAGGTAGCTATTTTATTTCGGCATTTCAGCTAAAAGGTAGCCATTTTTTTTGTGCATTGCGGCTAAAAAGTCGCCATTTTATTTCTGCATTTGTTCTCGATACTTTAACTAACAAATTCATTTAATTTCCAAAATTCAGTAAAAAAAATGTGTACGGGGAGGAAAACTTATTTTGGAAAACGGGGACGGGGACTCGGGGAGGGGGAAATAATTTTTCGAGAAAATTATATACCCTTTGCTTGTAGAAATTAATTATCTGTTAATCCAACAAAAAAACAGATTAATTGCTCTGTGAAGTACTTTGTTTGATGTTGATAATAATATGTTAAGATTCCCCCTGCTGTCTGAGCACACCCTTGAGCGCCTGAAGACGTCTGGTGACCCTGATTATGTACAGAAGAGCTCAAGATGTCAAGAGTTGATCAAGGTTAATTAAGTAAAAATTTATTTTGATGTTTCAAAGAATTTTTTTGAAGACTTTCATTTCTTTTCATTTTCATTTCTTTTATCAATTGTGAAGTAAACTTTTTTGTCGAGAAAAAAAAATTCAGTTAAAAAATATTCCTTTAAACTATGAAGTGTGCATTTTTGCAATTTTTTGTGCAATTTTTGAACAATAACTAAATTATATTTTAGGAGGCGCTTGCCTTCAGAAGAGATCACAAGAACAATGTAAAGAGACCACTTTACAGGTGGATTGTCGTTTTAATGAAATAGGTCTTTATTGATTGATTTAATTGATTGATTGATTGTTTGATTGGCTTTAGTGTTTAATTAATGGGTGGGGAAATTATTTTTCTCCTAATTTGTAGTAGTCGCCAGTCTACATTACAATCTAATCCTCTGACTAATTTTATTGAAGTTTTAACGGGTCGGGTATTTAGAAAGCTTGATATAATTCGTAAAATAGATACAACAACTTAAATTATGACGTCTGGAAATAAAACTGGAAAAAATTTATTTATTATTTGTTTCCATTATATTGAATTATTTAGCAAATTTAGAAATGTTGGATGGTTAGATAGTCAGATGGTTTGATGGTTAGATAGTCAGATGGTTTGTTGGTTAGATAGTCAGATGGTTTGATGGTTAGATAGTCAGATGGTTGGTTGATTGATTGATTGATTGATTTTTTTTTTATTGATTGATTGATTGCTGTATAGGGGATTCAATCAGATGTTGTTGCTGCAGAGTAGTAAATCCTACCTCAAAACTCCGCCGGTCATATTTGACTTTGCGAAATCAAGGAATTTAAATCAAAATTTTAACTTTTGGTGTCCCTATTTTTAAAATCAAAATTCAAATTTTCTGTGTCGCTTAAACATAAATATGAACAAATATAAAAAAATATTTTTGATTTGTATTTTGGTGTGTATTCAAAGAATTCATTTGTATCATTTTGGGAATTAAAATTGATTGATTGATTGTTTGAGGTAGCTGGGTGGCCTTAGAAGCCCCAACACCCCCCTGTAAGCACAGGTGAATTTCTAGAAAATACAGGGGTATATATGTTCTTTTATGATTTTGATGCTCTAGGGACAAAAGTTGAAATTTAAACTTTTAAAGGCAAGTTTTTCTTATCCTTCATGATATTTTTAACCAAAAAATTAATTTTTGACTCCACCCTAGAAATAATATTTTACTGAGCAAGCGAAACTAATATACCTAATATCTGGAGGAAAAACTTCTGCTGGCTTAAACTAAAATATGAACAAATATTTAAAAAAAAATTAAAAATTGATTGATTGATTTTCTGAGGTAGCTGGGTGGCCTTAGAAGCGCCTACACCCCCCTGTAAGCACAGGTGAATTTCTAGAAACACTAGATAAAATACAGGGGTATTTAAATACTTAAATGATTTTGATGCTCTAGGGGCAAAAATTGAATTTTGAACTTTTAAAGGCAAGTTTTTTTTTATACTTCATGATATTTTTAACATCAAAATTCATTTTTGCCCCCCACCCTACAAATTATTTTTTATCCCAAGCAAGCAAATAAACCCCTCCAAACCTAACATACCTGAAATATGGAGGAAAAACAAAAGAGGGGGGGGGGATTAATTTTTTAAGGAAATACACACCCTTGAAAATATTGAATATACTTTTCCGAGTCTTATGGTAAAAGGTGTGAATTATCAATCATGACCATAGGTAAATTAAAAAGCAAATCATCAGTGCAGAAAATACGTCTTTTTAAGTTATGTTATTGTGTTTATCTCAGGGGGCGGAAACGTCATGTGTGTGTGTCTCAGGGGGCGGAAACGTCATGTGTTTATCTCAGGGGGCGGAAACGACATGTGTGTGTGTCTGTGTGTAAAGTTTACCGAAGGTGTGTACTGTAGGTATATACAGTACATACGAATCTCGGTATTTGTACAGTCCTAGTAGTACTATATTATTTAAATATTTAAGTCGACGCTATAAGCCAAATTTTTTATGCAAAGAATATAATTTGATTTAAGTTTACAATAAACTAGTCGTTTTTTAAGCTTAATTATAATTGACAACATTGTTCTGCAATTTCCTTTACTAAAGTCATGTTGTGTGTCTGTACCAAAAGAGTGTTTGTAAGGTTTACCGAACTAGTCTGTAAAGCAGTGCGACTGGCGTTCTCATCCCAGACCAGCGCCATTTCCTTTCCATTCATTCCTATTCCCAGGTTTATCGATTATTGTCTGGAAACAATTCGTACTTCAATTAAAAAATAAACTAACGCTTGCTTCTCCACAGCAAATTGTATTACTATATACACAATAACATCCCATGACACATTTTATATATAGTAGATTTGTGTCTTCTCTATTTAGTACATATATAGTGACATATACTAAGGGTATTCATCTGTACAACGTAAACATATACACTGTACACTGTACAGTATATTTTACAGGGATGACAGTACGTTTGAATACCTGGACAATACAGTTTATTCTATAGGAGGAGAAACATCTCAAGAGGCCCCCAACGAACCTTTCATGGGTAATTTTGTTAAATAAGAAATGGAATAGAAAATTAAAATATTCCTTGTTCGTTGTTTACTGTTAAATTAACAAAAATTCAATTCCAAAAAGATGTCAAACCCTAAAAACATGCAAACTTGGATTTTTTTCTTCAAAATTAGAAGTTTATTTCAATTCTCTATTTGCATAATTTTAAGTTAATATCTGTCATTAAGAATTTTTTAAATATTTTTGTGAATACAATTTTTTTTTAAATGTTCTTAGCTCAGACTGATTTTTTAAATGTTCTCAGCTCACGCCGATTAATAAAAAGTTTACAGCTCAGATCTATTGTTTAAAAGAATCCAGCTCAAATCGATTGTTTAAAAGTTCTCAGCTCACACCGTTTATTTAAAAGTTCTCAGCTCACGCCTAATATTTAAAAGTTCTCAGCTCACATCGAATATTTAAAAGTTTACAGCTCACCGTTTATTTAAAAGTACCCATGTTAGACCGATAAATTAAATATTGTTTAATTTTAGAGAACCCGCGGACAATTATAGTAAGCCGGGATGTGTATTTCTACTGTTTAGAGGAATTCTATTGGAGCAAGCATTCAAAACTAAATATTCCAAGGTAAATAAAAGTTCATAAATGGGNATGTTTTCTTACTGAATGTTTCCTACACAAAGTTTCCCAACACCAAGCGTTTCCTGCCAACAAATGTTTCCTGCTACAAAACGTGGCATGCCACCAAACGTTTCCTGCCACCAAATGTTTACTGCTACAAAACGTTTTCTTCTACAAAACGTTTCCTGCCACCAAACTTTCCTGATGAAAAACGTTTCCTTTTTTATCAAATATAAAATTTCTTAATGTTGAAGCATTTATTATAGGAAACATTCAGTAACGAAACGTTTTGTGTAAGAAACCTTTTGTAAGGAAACATCCAGTATGGAAACGTGTAGTAAGGAAACTTTTATTGGCAGCGTTTTCTGTAGTAACGTTTTGTGAGGAGACGATCAGTAAGAAGCTAAGAATTTTATCTCAACGAAAAATACAATTTTTTTACATTTCGCAAATTGTTTTTGATTAATGAATCAATTAAAACAGTTTTTCAAAACGATTTATTGAAACAATTTTACCAACGGTTTTGAAAACCCAATATCTTTGGTTATAGCAAAATTTTATTGAATATACAATTTTAGGTGTTAGGTACTTTCCCAAGTTCGCATTTCCCAAGGGCGACTTCCCAAGTATCAATTTTCCAAGTGGCAACTTCCCAAATATGCAATTTTCCAAGCGGTAACTTTCCAAAAGTGAGGTTAAGCCCTCTGAGGCGCCGCAGGCTGCAATGGGGGCAAAGTGATGCAGCTAGGAGGGGGCCGAGTGCCGACTTGGGGCTGAGTGCTGCATCTAGGACAGACTTGGGAAGTTCCCGCTTGGGACAATGCCTTTGGGAAAGAACCTAACATCTACAACTTAGAAGTAGGACAAAAAAAGCCTTTAAAAAGTCACCTTAGATGTTAAAACATTGACTTACATAGGAAATAAAAAAATATCAAAATCAACAACAAAATTAGTTATTAAAGCATTTATAACAAGCTGTAAGTATCTCAATCTTGATTTTAATAGGTGTATAGTAGGGTGTCTCTTAAACTCTGATTGATTGATTGATTTCCAAAATGATGTTTTCCTAGAAAAAGGCATGCCTCGATTATGGTTGGAAGTACGTGTTATGTACTGGGAGGGTATACAACCAACAGCCAGCCCACGGACAGCGTGGAGATGATCAACCTTAGTAAGATTTAAAAACATTTTCTCAACAAAATAATCCCCTCCTCCCCCTTTTTGAAATATTTCCCCCCCCTCAAATGTTATATATGTTAGGTAAAAATTATCAGAAAGAAAAAAAACTTTCCTTTTGATGAGCCATTTTACCCCTGAAATTCTTAAAAATGTACACCCCTGCCTTTTCTTCTCTTATTTTGCGGATTTTTTTAATCCTGCACTTTTCAAGGTCTTCCTGTATTTCGACAGTGCATAAGTACTTTCCATTTAAATGAAAAAGACAACTAAACATTTAACTACGCGTTTAGGTCTATTTGGCTTTACAAGACAAGGATAAGGAATTCATTTTTTTGCACGGCAAATAAAATGAACTAAAAACATACCGGCTCGACACTCTGTCTTGACTTAGATACATTATTCTGCTTTTAAGTTTATTTTTGGAAAATTAAAGCTTATTAACGTACCTTTGATTTCTGTGTTTTCTTTGATTTCTAAGCATTAACTTAAGGAAAAATTTTCTTCAACATTTGAAGAAAAAAATCATAAAACACAAATATACATTAACTTTTTTATGGGAAGGTGGGGGGGGGGATTTGTAAATAAAAGAAGATTCTATGAAGATATAGTCCGCTAAACTACTGATTATTTTTATCTGGTTGTCACTGTTTATTATAGGAACTGACTCTAACCACTGGAAGCTGGTGGCGCCCATGCTGAACAAGAGAGTATCTTTCGGTGTTGTTGAACTCAATGGTTAGTAATGTTTAATGGGACTGTTAGCGTAGTTTAAAGTCACCCTCCATGCAAAAATGGCTATGCCTGATTTACAACGGTATAGGTTTGTCTGATCAAGTAGGAATTAGATATCAATGTTTTTTTTTCTTTAAACTGTTTTTTTTTATATGCGGTTTCTCTGCGAAACTTGTGCAATGCGAATTTCTTGTTTATTAGAAGCAATGGAGAAGATCAAAGAAATTAACACTTTTCTATTTAGTAAAATGACGATATCTTCCACATTTTTGATCAGATTAATGTTGATTAAGGTTAATTATGTTGTAAATCAGGCATTGGCCTTTTTACATGTAGGGAAGGGTCACTTGAAATCATGCTTAACATACATTCTTTTTAAAGAAGGGAATAAGTGTTCATTTATGATTGTACCTGATTTGAAATTTTTTGGGGGATCATGTTTTTTCTTTCACTGGTGAATGTTAAAATTTTTCCTAATCTTCATATTGAACAATCAAAGAAAAAAATATTGAAATCGGAGTCTAAATACTGAACAATCTAGTTACATGTTGAAAATCGGAGTCTAAATAATTTAATTGCATGTTGATAATCGGAGGCTAAATACTGAACAATTTAGTTACATGTTGATAATCGGAGGCTAAATACTGAAAAATTTAGTTGCATGTTGAAAATCGGAGGCTAAATACTGAACAATTTAGTTACATTTTGATAATTGGAGTATAAATCTGAACAATTTAGTTACATGTTGATAACCGGAGTCTAAATCTAAACAATTTAGATACATGTTGATAATCGGAAACTAAATACTGAACAATTTAGTTACATGTTGATAATCAGAGTCTAGATACTGAACAATTTAGTTACATGTTGATAATCGGAGGCTAAATACTGAACAATTTAGTTACATGTTGATAATCGAAGTATAAACACTGAACAATCTAGTTACATGTTGAAAATCAGAGGCTAAATACTGAACAATCTAATTACATGTTGAAAATTGGAGGCTAAATACTGAACAATTTAGTTACATGTTGATAATCGGAGGCTAAACACTGAACAATCTAGTTACCTGTTGAAAATCGGAGGCTAAATACAGAACAATCTAATTACATGTTGAAAATTGGGGGCTAAATACTGAACAATTTAGTTATGTGTTGATAATCGGAGGCTAAATACTGAACAATTTAGTTACATGTTGATAATCGGAGGCTAAATACTGAACAATTTAGTTACGTGTTAATAATCGGAGGCTTAAATTGCTAAAATTCTAACTAAAATTCTAACTACAAGGTACTGGACAATTCTGAGTACATATTGAAAAAGGAGGCTAAAATATTTATTGATTCAAGGTACTTTGTTATCGGAGGCTAAAATTTCAACTATTCTGGGTAGAATATTGATAACGGAGGCTTTATATTGTTTGGTTTAGGTTGTATTTATGCTATCGGAGGCTGGGACGGACAGAATATAGTGAAAAGTATTGAAAAATTCGACCCTAACACGGGAAAGTGGACTCATGTCACAGACTACATAAATATGAGGTAAATAAGCATATTTAATTAAATTAATTAAAAGGACTGTCAGCGAAATATCAGTTTATCCTCCAAAGATTCAGAAAGTTTCCCTTACTATGTTTAAGAATGATGGTCAAGTAGTGGACTTTTTCTATTTCTATCATCAGACAATTTTCATTTGGACAGCAGAAATTTACAATTTACTTTCTAGAACAAATTAAAATAACCACTAGGCTTCTAGGGCGCTTTGCGCCCTTCTTCTATTTCAACTGTGAACAGTTTTCTTTATATACGTTGTAAAACAAAAACAAACAAAAAATTTCGCGGATTTTATAAAAAAAATCGTGGATTTTCAAAATTTTCAAAATTAAAATTTTGTTCGAGGCAATTTTTTGAAAATTCAATCGTTCATTAACCTTCCGTTAGGCCATGTGAGGTCCCACAAAATTTTTTTGCCCGATCGGTTCAGCCGTTTTTACGTTTATTGGATACAAACAAACAGACAAGCAAAGTATATATATACTAGGCTTTTAGTGAACATGTTCTTTTTGCTTACATTTTAAAACAAAGAAGAAAAAAACTTTGCGGATTTTTAAAAAAAAAATTCGCGGATTTTCAAGAATTTAAATTTTTTTACAAAATTAAAAACCTTCATAACACATTTTTTTTTATTTTTATCATTCATGAACCTTCCCTGTGGTCACGTGATGTCCCATAAAAAATTTGGGCCCGATCGGTTCAGCCGTTTTGACGTTTATTGGATACAAACAGACAGACAAGCCAAATTTATATATAGATACAGAGCGTCCCATATCATATCGATTATCTCGAAGCTTAGACGTCAAAATAAACACATAATACTCAAAACATCTGGCATTTTTTGCAAGAAAATTGTTTTTTTAGCCTTACTCATTTTTTGAAAATGATTCATTTTTTTCTTAAAATTTCTCATTACTCCCGAAAATCGTAATTTAGACCCATTGGCGAATAAATGTCGCCTAATATCGCTTACATCTAGGAATCATTAAGAGAACAAAACCAGGGCGGATCTTACAGGCAACCCCGGGCGTGTAAAAATGTGTATCGATAGTTGAAACTCTGATGGATGAAATTGACTAGGAACAAGCACATTTCTAGCAATTCTCTTTAATTAATAATAGGATGAAGTTCGGAGTAGCTGCAATGGATGGCAAGATATTTATAGTCGGAGGATGTCTGCAAACCTATGATACCTGTTACACCTCGGAGTACTACGATTTAGAGAAAGAGTGAGATTTTTTTTTAAGACATGAGAAAGATGTCGTCTTTGTATTAATTACTCTGTCTATGAAATGTCCTGTTGATAAAATGTCCTGTCTATGGAAGTCCTATCTATGAATTTCTTTATCAATGAAATGTCCTATCCATGAAATGTCTTTCTATGAAATCGCCAAACACGGTTATTTTTATATAGTTATTATCTAGTTTATGGACGAGTATACCGGAGCCTAAACATGCAAGATCCAACCCTGTCCTAATCCCATACAGGGGTAAACTTTACCTCTTTGGCGGAGAAGGTAAATCCCTGATTCATTTTCCGTAGTTGGTTAATGAAATTAGAAAGTAATTAAGAAGTAGTTTAACTTACTCGAACTAAGTTCATTAAGCTGCTTTTCGGTTTTTATAAAGTCTAAGCTTAAATTAATATAGTTATTATTAATATCAAATTATTATAGAATTATTTTAATGAAAATTTGATTAGGAACCTCCCAGGGTGCTGTAGAATGTTTTGATTTCCATTCTAAACATTGGACAGTTCTTCAGACCAAGGTCAAGCAATTCATCAATGGTGGATACACAGGTAAAAATATTATGTTTGTTTTTATTTTTAAAACTTTTGGAAAATTAAATTAAAATTGTGCTTTGAGTTCAGGGGTCTATTTTTTACGAACACATGTTTTGTACACTACACGCCCACCTCCAGGCACGCAAATCTGCCCCTTTAGTAAAAGTAACTTTATCCTATATGAAGCATAAAGTCTGACCGCGTCAACCTTGTTGCACCGGCTAGACCTATTCATAGAGCTAGGAGAGCTAGGTACAGTACAAACTGGAAAGGTTGACCCGACTCGGAAATTCAAATGTACTACGGCTGCCCGTGCAGGGGTAAGGGAGGGGAAGAGGAATTGATTTTGGGGAATAAATGATAAAATGGGCGCCAGTCAATAAGTGGCAGTTGATACTGTTATCCATAAATCATTTATTTTTCTCAATTTAGCATTAAAAACAAAACAAATTTTTTTAACTTTTGAAACATATATTTCCATAAATTAAAAAAAAACGTGTTTTTCGTAAAAAATATTATCTGTTCGGTTCCATAGTAGTAAACCTTATCGTGTAAGAATTCCCATTATTACACGGTTCAGAGGAACAATTTTAATATTGTTCGCTTCCTTGCGTTTATGAATGCTTATTCTTACATTGTGGGTGTAGAATTTTCATTCTTTAACGCTCAGACCGCGTAAGAATGGAAATTATTACACGGTCAGAGCGTTAAAGAATGTATAATCTTACACGCTCCAAGTATTAAAGAATGGAAATTATTACACTTGTTGAAGAATATTCATTGTTACACGCTCCTTATATTGATCTTTTCAACATAGATCAATATTGATATCAACTTAATTATTTTTTTACGAACAACATGCACACTCACCTTTTCTTTTATATTAATACATGCAAACCTACCTTTTTATGCTTTATAACGACATGCTCACTTACCTTTTTTATATTAATACATGCTAACCTACCTTTTTATGCTCTATAACAGCATGCTCACTTACCTCTTTACTTATAGAAGTAATGATATAACTTAATTCAGTTACGTTTGNCCCTCCGTGTTCAATAAACATATCTCATTAAGAATGATTCAGAGGACGCTCAAATTTTCTAACTTTTCCTAAAAAAATAGTTGACAGTGTAAAGAAGCCTTATATTACGCATTTTCATCAAACTATCTGAGTCTCTAAGCAAACCAAGTTTTGTAAGATTTTGAAAATCTCTGCTATCTGCATATTTATAATAGAACGGTCATAGCTTTTCTAGAATGGAAAGGTTATCATGTTTTTCACAATTCCAATCAACTGCTTTTTCACTTTATAACTGGATACTGAACAAAAATAGCTTTTCCAAAATTCCACATTGAGTTGTAATATTTGGACAAAATAGACAGCATTAAGAGGTGATTGGGGTCGATTTGCCCCCCCCCCACTCTGTAGATATAACTGGTTTTGAAGTACCTAAACATTCACCCTATCTCGCATAGCTCGAGTTGAAGTGGTACCACAATCAAAAACATTTAATGTTAGTTTATGGAAACAAAGTATTGAAATATTAGTGTCACAAACTTAGCAATGAAAACAAACAATAAATCTTGATTTATGAAAAAAAAGACAAAGATCTTCATCATTTCATTTCTTAAACTGGTTCTTGTTAGAAAACCTACTTTACTCTCCTCTTTTTGGAAGATTTAGGATCTAATATCCAGCAAATGATTTTTTCTATATCGCCTAGTATAAGTATTCTCCCTAGGGTGACACGGTTCGGTCAGCCAATGGGTACATTTCGGCGGCTAGGAGCGCCGACCCCTATTTCCTTGAATGATGGGTTGTCCTTTAATAATGATAATAATATATGATTTCACGCTTTTGTTCAGTAGATTGAGACAACCCACTACTATTTTCTACCTTCTATTCATATAAAAAACTCAGGGCACATTCAACATGCTAAGTCTAAATATAGCATAAACTTTAAGAAAAAAAAAACAGCAAATTCATCATAAATTAGTAAAATAAAATTAACTAAGGGAACAATCACACCACATCCATTATTTACAAATAAAGAACCAATTTTTACTTATAAAAGGGTTTTTAACATTTTACCATTGTAACATTAGACAAAAATATCAGTAATAGTCAAGACAAGAGCATAAGTGAAATATAAAAACTTATTTGCAACCCTTCATGACGTCAATTGTTCCAACTTGATATAGTCGTTTTTCACACGCAATTTAAAAAATTTAATATCTTAGTTATTTTTTCATGGAACCTCACAGGTATGATATAATATTAATCTTATTATCAATGTTTTTAGGTTGCTTGGTGGATAAACCCTGGGACTGGGATGAAGTACAGATAAACCAACTGAAGGCGAGACAAAATATTAAGAAGATGTTGGTCGGACACGGTCTTAATGTCGTCCAGAATATGGCCGCCGGATACTATGATGCGTCATCATCTTAACCCTGACACAGGAGACGCTGAGCAGTGAGCATCACTCAAGAAAATTATAACTTTAATTTTCTCAAGTTTCTCGATATAGTTATTTAAAAGGAGTGTTAGTGTAAAATGAAAGGGTGTGTGGGTCGATATCTAATTTTATTAGCAATAGATTAATAACGTTAATAATATTTGATACTAAACCGTTCTTGTCTTGCACATCTAATCTAAGGTTAATACACAATTGTATAAATTTGATTCTCTTTACTCTTTATTTTCTTCTGAAGGACCTATTTAGAAATCAACCTCTATGCCCCTATTTGTTTTTGTTTAACACTCCCCATTAGAAACTTTGTTTACGGGTCTCTATCATGTATGTATTTGTTTACGGGTCTGTATCATGTATGTATTTGTTTACAGGTCTGTATCATGTATGTATTTATTTACGGGTCTGTATCATGTATGTATTTGTTTACAGGTCTGTATCATGTATGTATTTGTTTACAGGTCTGCATCATGTATGTATTTGTTTACGGGTATGCATCATGTATGTATTAACCCAAGTAATCTCTAATTTGCATTGTTTTTACCGACAAATCTACTCTCAATGTAGTAATTAAAAACTTTTTTAAAAAATATTTTTTTCTCTTTATCTCTCAACACAAAAGCATTTTGACATGTCGATGTTACTCTTGTCTATTTAAAGATTGAGAGCAAGCATCTCAAAGAAAAATGCATTGGTTTTGAAATGATTAGGATCAATTGTCAGAATTTTGCTAAAAAAATGACAAATGAGATAAGAATGGTTAGGCAAGGATTGAATATTTTCGACAAAAGATTTCTTTATTCTAGTATGATTTATCTCAGACAGATACTTCTACATGGAAGTTTTAATACTTTTTTATGGGTAAACAATTCTTAAACTTAACTCTGTTCTGGGATGCCCCATCCCCCTCAACCCAAAAAATCTTTTATTTAACATGCAGTGAGACTAATTACTAGAAATTTTATTTATGTTTTTTATTATTTTCAGGAATAAATCATGACGCCAAATTCTCCGGAGCAAGGGTAAGGAAAAACGCCAATTCTTCATTAAATTCTATGACGTTAACGTTGAATCAATAAATATCCTTATATAATGCAACAAACAATTTACCGAATGAAACGGTTAGTAAATATATATATAATATATATATATTTATANGGGGGGGGGTAGAGGTTAGAGTGAGAGACTGAAAAAAAGGAACATAAAGCAGTTATTTTTAATAAGAAAGTAAATCACAAAAATTATTATATCTATAAAATTGGCGATTTGTTAAGATATAAATACTTTGTAATGTCACACAACATCAGCATTTGGTTTAATTTAAGAACCTAAAACATACAAATAACTGAAAAGATATGAAAAGAAATTTTAAATCATACGAAAATAATGAATTAAAGAAATATTATTTGTATTATTTGTCGTTATGTTGTAAAATGTGGTAGCTATAATTTGACAGATTTAATCTGGTAAATTGTTTAAACTTTGTATGTACCAGGGCTAAATATAAAATGTCGAATTACATTATTATTATTTTTATTATTATTTTCCAGTTTCTTGAAACACTCCTAACTATTTAATTGTTTTCCAGGGCTGTTTGGAACACCCCAGACGGGGGGCGGAAGGATGTTGCAATAAAATATTTTGAAAATGAAATGGAGAAAGCTGAGTTCCACGTGGAGAAGAAACAGCTGTCTAGGTAATTTTAATCAATCAAATCATCAATTTTGTAAATTAATTTATCAATTTTTAAATCAATTAGGCATTGTTAAATTCAATTAATTCAATAAATCATTTAATATTTTCAATAAAAATAAAAATAACCAGTTTTTTGAAACTTTGATCAAATACATGAAAAATTATTAGTTCTATACGTAATTTATTATGACAGAAAGATGAAAATTATTAGAATGGTTTCTATTTCTCAAATCACTTCTATTATGGCTTGTATTGCTTTGATTGTATGAAAAGGAATAATTTTCTCCTTTTTAGTATCAATGGTTGATTTTCCATTTATTAATTGTACATGGTGCGTCACCCAAACATATTCTGCTTGTATGGAGCATGTACGGATCATTTATTTATTGTACAGGGTGCGTCACCCGAACATAATCTGCTTGTACGGAGCATGTACAGATCATTTATTAATTGTACATGGTGCGTCACCCAAACATAATCTGCTTGTACGGAGCATCTACGGATCATTTATTTATTGTACAAGGTGCGTCACCCGAACATAATCTGCTTGTACGGAGAATGTACAGATAATTTATTAATTGTACATGGTGCGTCACCCAAACATAATCTGCTTGTACGGAGCATGTATGGATCATTTAATAACTGTACAGTGTACATGGTGCGTCACCCACACATAATCTGCTTGTACGGAGCATGTATAGATCATTTATTAATTCAGGGTGAGGCACCCGAACATAATCTGCTTGTACGGAGCATGTACAGATCCTTGTGTTCTCCTGGTCATGGAGTACGCGGACTGTGGGTCCTTGTACAAGGTAAACAATATGTTAGAATTGTTTAAACTTAGTCTTGTACAGTACGACCCAAAAAATTGTGGAATATAATGGGTACTGCTCAACTCAAAATGTTTTTAGAACATGAAGCCCAGAAATTGTGCACTGTGCAGTGCGTACTGCATACGGACCCATTTCACTTGATAAGCGACTGGTAAAACTATATGCTTTATAGCAATATAAAAATATACATACTAATGCCTGAATGTCGGCTTCCTTTTCCACAGTTTTATGGGTCTCACTGTACATCTAATAAGACTAACATTATTATTATTAATGAAATTAATTTTTTTCGAACTTTTGGTTTTTAAGGGCTTCATTTTTAAAGGTCAATGTTAAGGTTGTCCAGGAGGTCATTGAGGTAAAAAGAGTGAATATATTGATAATGTCAAAGAGATCATGTCATTCATTGAGGTCAACCTTAACCAATAATTGCTGAACTGTCTTAATCTCTATTTGTTAGATCTTAATGTCGTCTTTAATCTTTGAAAAAGTTGTGGAATTTATTCGTAAACTTANAATAATAATAATTAATAATTAATAATTAATGATAAATAATTTAATATTTTTATAATTTAATGAATTAATAATTTCCAGGGGAGTGGCGTATCTCCATTCTTTGAAACCCAAACCTTTAATTCATCGAGATCTGAAGTCTCCTAACCTTCTTCTAGTCAACCATGGGCTTACTCTAAAGGAACCAATCCTGACATCTAGCGGACATTTTACAATTTAATGGACTGTACACTTAATTTTCTGGAATCCTTCATTTCTGGAATGGTTTGCCCGATGCACAAAAATGCCTTTAAAAACTTTATTTAAATATGAAGAAATATGACTGATCGCAATTATTTCTAATATTATCATTGTTTCTTCTTTTTCTTAAAAAATTATTTTTGGATTGATGCTGCAGAGAAATTAAGAGATTTCAACACTTTATTTGTCACTCAGGTCGAGATTGATAGGGTACAATTATGAATCAGACATGCCCTCTTTTCTTAAATAGAGGAACACATGAAGTTACGTCTACAGTTCCTTTTAAAAAAATTGGTCTATGCAGTTAATGCATTCTAAGATCTGAGGCCGAATTTTAAGAATTTAAACCGGTTCCAATTGAGCACCGGCTCAAATCTCGGAAACACTAAATACAATTTTAAGTGGAACCAAAGATTGAGACGCGACTCAAATTCTTTAATTTCGGCCTCGGATTTCCTGATGTCCGGTTGGGAATTAGATTTGCGACTTCGGTACGGCTTGCGACAAGTCGACAGTAATGACTAACATGAAAGGAAGCGCTGCCTGGATGGCTCCGGAAGTATTTGAAGGAAACACATATTCAGAGAAGTGTGACGTGTTCAGCTGGGGGATTATTCTCTGGGAGATGTTAACGCGTCGTCTTCCTTTTGAAGGTGAATAGAGCTGAGAACTTTTAAATGGGATATCCTTAATCCCGAGCTGGGAACTTTAGAATGGTAGATATCGGGATTAATGCTTGATCCACTCTTTTTCTTAATCTCCAGATTAAATATTGCTTGTTTTCCTCATGAATTTAATCTCCAGATTAATTAACCGATCGGGATTAAGGACATCACATTCTAAAGTTTTCAGCTCTGATCTCTTATTCTGAATACCCACTGGGGGATATTTTAATTTAATTTTTAATCCGCTCTCGTCATTTCCTACTACATAATAAAGAAACGTTTGATTAAAATTACAGAAACGATGGTATATCAATTGTACTAATATCGACCAATTGAGCTAAAGTCAGCTATCTACAAACCGGCTTTTAGGTCATTTAAAGGGACAGTAAAGGAAAAATGAAAGGGGGTATAGGCTGAAAGCTAATCACTTTAGCTCTTGATCTCGACCCATGAAAGTCATATCTGATTATTAGAATCAGATTATTCTGTGTTATTTTAGGTGCTCCACCAGATGAAACCTCAGCCTGCATACAATGCAGGGCACGCTATAAGCTGGGCTCTTCAGTGTGCAAAGTAAATTTTATCCAAAATGGCTGCCGGCGTAGTTTCAACTGGCCCTCAATTTTATTTGTTTTTTATCTGGTTTCCAATTGGTGTTTATCTAAAAGAAAATTGCAGCAGAGACAAAGGATTATTAAATGTATTACTTATCCAGAGAAAAAACAACGATATCTTCCCCATAGTTTCTCAGATCAAGGTTTCAAGGGTACTGGCTTGAATCGGGGATTCACGTCTTAAAATGGGGACTAACTTGAAATCCCATCGACAGTCCAAATATGTAGTTCAATTTAATAATTTGATAATTTGATAATTGAATAATTAAACAATTAAACAATTGAACAATTGAACAATTGAACAATTGAACAATTGAACAATTGAACAATTAAACAATTAAACAATTAAACAATTAAACAATTGAACAATTGAACA